CGTGGACGACACTACCCGTATGTAGATCCACTTAAATATGTTGAAATGTTGTTATTCTTAGACTTATGTTGGGTTGATTCCCTTATGTCACAATTACTAAATGAGTGGGGTGATGAGACATAGCATTTCAAAAAGGTCACTTGTTTGCAGGTAAAAAATCTGCTCAAGGCACCACATACAGTGTGAATTGCTTTAAAATGTATTATATGTGCTCAGCGACATGGTATTGATCAGCACAGCAAAACTAAAGCTCTTTTTATTGCATAAACTAATTATGGAACTGCTGAGATTTCCACCGAAATAAGAAGAAGCCTTTGGGGGTTACATTTGATTCAAATTATGTTTGAATCAAATGTCAGCACCAAGGTATCCTGCAAACTAATTTTTAACACTCTGGTCACTGATTGTGTGATTGATGTGAATTTAGGTATTGTGGCATTTCCTTCTGTGTTTGTGCAATCTTCACTTTGTACTAAAACAGTGTAAAACCCTCAAGCATTAACCATGAAAACATAAAATGAGCAATAAAAAGTGATTCCAAAAAGGAAAAAAAGAAAATGGGAGAAGTTTGCCCCATTATATGTAGCTGTATGTATTGTATGTTAGTCCTTCTGTCCAACAGGAAGGGCTGTTCCTGAAGACCCGCAGGTGAGTGCCACTGCTCACCCACAAAGCTTCACTAGTGTGTCCTGTAGAAGCCTTTTATGATCGTACCAGCACCATAGACCACTACGAACAAGGGAAACAAACAGGAACTTTCCTGCCTGTGAGCAGGAACCTGGGAGATTGTTTCGCAACAGTGAAAATTAGCACAGTGAAATTTTGGCTACAGTTATTCACCACCCTTGGATTTTCAGTTTGCTTAGAGTATACCTTGCTTAACATGGTTTAAAGCTGTGTGCCACATTATGCTGGCAGTCTCAGAGAATGGAACCAGCTTAAGAAGCCCATGCAGGTCACTCCATGATTCTTCTGAGATATAGTCCAACAATTAAAGGCCTTTTATGCTGTTGTCTTTCCCATGGCCACCTTATTCTAGGAAAAGCACATGACCTAAATATTCTTATGCCATCCTGATTTCTATCTGGTTTAACACTTCTGGGGCTCTTTGCAACCTTTGTGAATTAGAATAACATTAATGTTTGCTGAATCTAGCATGAGGTAAGTTCTGGCCCTATACCAAAGTAACCTGGGATCGTGACAGCTTCTCTGAGATTTAAACTAACCTTTTCTTATTCCTCAAATCAATGTGAATAGTGAAAAGCAGAGTGGAGAGTAAGGGGTTTGGAATATGGTTAGTTCGAGGTTTGATTTTTTTATTTTTATTTTTTATGATTAAACTTAATTGGTTTGAAAATTTCTGTGGCAAATAAAGTTCCCAATCAGATTTAGAAAGAAGTTACCAAAAAATGCGTGATACAAGCATCAGAAAACAGCACCATTAGTGGCACGGTCCTATGAAGGGACTGTGAAGTCATTTTTGGATATGAACATCCACTACTTTAAACAAATTAACACTACAGACCAAACTGTGATGACTTTAAACTTGTAACTGTTCCCTTCTCATAATAGTCTGGCTTGTAAAATTGCTCTCTACAACCCAGCCAGGAAGGTAATCAGCGGGAGTTATGAAGTAATATTTTCATGCCTTGCTTTGCAGGCACGAAGGAGACCGCGTTCATCTACGCGGTGACATCAGCAGGACTGGTGCATTCAGTGACACGATCCTGCAGTGCGGGGAACGTGACCGAGTGCTCCTGCGACCTGAGCCTGAGGCACGGCGGCTCGGCCAGCGAGGGCTGGCACTGGGGCGGCTGCTCTGACGATATCCACTACGGAATGTCATTCAGCAGAAAGTTCCTGGACATGCCTTTGAAGAACTTAACGGGCAAGAGTGGGAGCGGACTGGTGGTGATGAACCTGCACAACAACGAGGCTGGGAGGCAGGTATGTGTCATTCAGATATGGGCAGCAACTGCTTGTTCACCTTCTTTGACAAAATGACATCAACTAAAGGAGGCCGGCCCTTGACTGCAGGTGTATGTGGAGCCAATGGTAAAAACAGCACTAACATTCACCAAAGCAAGCACGTACAAACTCAAAATCAGAGCTGGTTTTAACTAACTAATCCCCATGGATTAAAATAAAAGCCACAAACTAAGAAATAGATCTGCAATGCTTAAATAATAAAGTTATCTTAACTAGATACTCTGTAGCAAATTTGAAATAATCCTGTTGTCAGCATAATACGAGTTTTTTCACTCACTATTCTGTTATCATCATGACCTACATTTTTAATTCTCTCTAGTACTGAAGGAGAAGGCCAATTGGACAAAAGGCCTTATTACTCATCCACAGTCTGGGGTGCAGACCTGAGACCACAAGTTTCGCATTGTTCAGAGAGGAAATCAAGAGTTAATATTGTCTTTTAAAACATGAGATAGAAATGACACCTCTATTTTAAAATAGCTCATTGGTTAAAGCATGAATCAAAGAAGTGAGAGGAGAGTGGATTTGGACAGCTTTTCATCAGCCCAAAGAACTTCAAAACCAAGTTTGCAGAGGAAATGTTATGTTTGTGAGTGTGTGACATTGGGTTCTCCTGTCCTGTCCTGTAGAGGGTAAAAAATGGGGGCCAAAACAACCTATACAGGGAGATGTGAGCCTGTGAGTGCTTGGATCTTACATCTGGAATGACAGAGACTTGGATGCTGGTTCTTGCTTTCAAATTGCTTTCTCTGCTTTACCTTGGAGTTTTTAATTTCATCTTTAATGGCTGTCTCTGGGTCTATAATACTTTAGGTCTGTTCTGCTCAGTGGCACAGATATAACTATAGAAGGAAAAAAAGAAAAAAGGAAAAACCTTTGGTTTTAACTACATGTATTGATGGACTCCATTGTAATTCAGTAATTTCTTGTAGCCAGAAGCAGGATCAGTGAGTTTTACTGAACCCAACTTTCCTACCTGCTGTAGACAAGGAATAACCATAGGAAACTGCCATGAGAGCTATGGTGGTATAACTGAAAACTATTTTAATTTAAACTAATTTTTACAGGTAATATGTTATTTCATTTAAGCTATACAGTTGTAAATCAGAAAATCTTTCAGGTCCCTTCCAACCCAAACCGTTCTATGATTCTGTGGCTCTCTGACATAAGCCCTTTTCATAACCGAAGTGGAAGAAGCAAACTTTAAACCTTAAGTAGTTGGTGAGAACACTTACTGTAAGTTTAATTAGATGCCAGTCAGCTAAATCATCTCCAAGGAAAGTGATTGGTATCTTGTAGTAGGAGATGTTAATAAGAGTAACAGAAGCTTAAGTGATTATTTCCTTAGGGAAGGAGCAAAACGTTGTTTCTCATGTTTGGAGAGAGAGATAGTTAAGGAAGGAGATAGTAATTTCTATAAAATGGTCTCTCTTAATTTAAATACACAGTACAGATATAAATTTTTATTTTATTACTCATGTTTGTCATTAGACAGAGCCATTGTCTCAGATTAGGGCGACAGAAGTGTAGGGAAGAAGACTGCAAGGCTCCAGAGGAACTTGAAAGAGAAAGAGAATGTGATTTCTGTGTAAGGTGTCAGTGATATGGGTTTCTCTTTGATACCCTATTGTCTTGTTGGCCTTTACCTTTAGAATAGCAGCAGCAATAGTTTGCTGTCCTTTTGTCTGCAGTGACAGTGTTTACTTGTGATTCCCATTCAATCCTTGTGCTCATCATTCATTGCTGCCAGTGGGCCAGCAGAACTGTCTGGAGTCTTCTGCTGTGAACTGTACCAAGGAACTGTTCAACTTTAAAAAAAAAACTACACACACAAACACAGAGCCTAGAACATAAACTTTTATTTTCGTGTTGCTTTCTTCAAAGTTGGATCCATTTCCAGATCGCACCTCTAGTCAGCTGGGCCGTGTGTGTCATGGGGATGGGATTGACTGGCAAAGGAGAAAAGTGCATTCAGCCAAAGAGAACATGTTTTCAAATGGTGAACTAAAGTTACAAGGGGCTGAAGGATCTAATTGAGTCTTCATTTTCCATGAATAGTATTTTTGAGAGGATCAAAGTTATCTTATATGTTGGCTATATGTGTAAAATATAGTAGATTGTGAGTCCACACTTTTAATGACAGGCAACAGTAGTATTTTCTATTTTCATTCACATTGAGTGAGTGAATGAAACCAGAGTTTTAGACTAGACTGACAGTCTCTGGGAATGTGGTAGAATTTGGCCCAACAGAAACTATCAGATACTGAGGACCTTTCAGGGTGTTGTGGTTGAACCACAGCTGCTTGCTCACATCCTCTGTACTCTTCCCCTCCCCTCAGTGGGCTAGGGAGAAGGTTTGGGGCAAAAAATGGTAAAACTAGTGGTTTGCAATAAGAAGATTTTAATAATTGAAATAGAATGCAACAATAATAATGTAATGTAAAAGGAGATATCAAAGAGAGAGGAACAAAACCTGAGAAAAATTAGTGATGCACAATACAATTGCTAACCACCTGCTGAATGATGCCCAGCCTGTCTCCCAGCAGTGATCTACCCCTCCTGGCCAAGTCTCCCTAGTTTATATACTGGGCATGATGTTCCGTGATGTGGAATATCCCTTTGGCCATTTGAAGTCAGCTGTCCTGGCCATGCTCCCTCACAGTTTCTCTTGCAGCTCCTCACTGCAGCACAAGACACTGAAAAGTCCTTGATTTAGTGTAGGCACTACTTAGCAACAACTAAACCATCAGTGTGTTATCAACATTATTCTCATACTAAATACAAATCAGAGCTTTGTGCTAGCTAATAAGAAGAAAACTAACTCTATCCCAGCTGAAACCAGGACACGTTTCAGGTTCTTCACAGTACTGAGCTCTCCAAAAAGATTCTGTACCCTGTCACAGGCTTATTTGGTGCATATGACACATGAACTCATTCCTTTTCCAAGGCACTGTGGCATTGTTTTCTTAAGAAAAAACAAATTTGCTGCAAGCCCAAAAGGCCAGAAGACCCTTATTTCACTGATGTTGTATCAATGGTGTATTTGTTGTTCATTATCTTGAAATAAAACATGGAGAGTATTTAGGCAGCTTTCATGCATAGATATTTTGTAATTTAATGGCAAACTCTAAGATAAAGCAAATATTTTGACCACTGTCCAGAATAAAAGAATGTTTATTGTTGGTATTTGGGTTTTCTAGCAGTAATGTTATCTGAAGTAAAGTTTAGCATAACTCTTCCTTTTTGTATTTTTAAATCTTTACATAGGAGATGCTGGAAAATGTTTATGTTCATGTTTTGGGGCTTATAAGAAGGATATTTTGATACCTTATTACCGTTTGTAATGAATACTATCACGTTCCTGGTTCACTGTCTTGCAATAACAGTCTTCTAGGGACAATACTTCTGTGTCTTCGGCTGGGCTACTTGCCCACATGGAAATAACTCACCCTTAGCAGTTAACAGACATGTCCAGTGCTTCCTCTGACAATTTCTGGACCCTTATGCCCTTAGTAAGTACCTTATCATACTGACATGAAAACAAGAAGTACACCTGTAACCTTATAAATCTTGTAGCACAATATGATTTCAAACTACTTTGAGATTCTAATTGCTTGACAAAAATAACTAATCACTCAAAATTGGAAAAATACTATTAAATCCTCTCTGTTTGTAAACTGTGTGTAAAATTTCTTTTGATATTGTGTTTCTCTTTTCCTTGACATTTTGCCTTGTTCTCTTGCTGCATCTGTGAATGTGTGATTTTTCAGTGCACTTTTTACAAACTCTAATGTGAGATATGTCACAATACTAATCGTATAATTTTATGCTATGACTATTAGATATTCAAAAAGGAAGTATTAAATTGATTGTCTGCTGAGTATTTGAGTTGTAGTCTCAGATAAAGTAAGTTACTCCTTGTTTACAGATTCCAGTTCTTCGAGGCTTGGTCTCCTATAAACTGAAGTAAAATTCTCATGTGTTACAAAAGCTTGACACAGACTTCAGATTCCCATTGTTGGCCAGACAGTTATTGTTCAGCCCAGCCCTTGCTTCTGCAGGGGCATGGAAAAGTAACTCATCTAAGAGTATTTTAGTGTTGGCAATAACTCTGGAATCTTTGCTAAAACATTGAAAATAAGAAAAGTAATATGAATGCAACTATCTAATTGTGTTAAATAGAGCCATTATGAAACTTGAAACACTAGAAACCCACGCTAGTTCAAGTATGCAGAAATTGAAAGAACCGAGCTTTATCCTGTAAGTGAGAAGCACTTGAGATTTACTCCAGAATACCTCAGTTGAAGACACCTCTGCTGAGCCATGGTGGCTCTTTCGATAGACTTTCTGCGAAGCTCAGAAAGGTGGGCATCCTCCTGCTCTTCCAACAGAAGTCTGCCCTGAGGTGCCTTGGGGCTGCACGCTGCACTGCTTCGGGTGCTGAGCCACGATGTGCCCAGGTGCTGTTGTGTGACCTCAGCCATTCTCAGGACATTAGATAGAGACTGGGTTGTGGATGTTTAGTCATCTTGGTGGTAGCTGCAAGGCACCCTTAAAAGGCTACGTAATTGGGCACTTACCTGCGCAGTGTCTTCCAGGATAGGAAGGGTACTTTGACCCGCCCTGTCCCTGCTTTCCCTTTCTGCTATTCCCCATGAGAGCCATTTGCATTCCAGTGGTGGAAGGAGTGACACAGGACATGTAATTTCAGGTGTTTAAGATCCTCCAGAATGAAAAGTGATTCAGAAATCATAGTTTTCGTTGTTGTGATTTGATATTGCTACGTTATGGCCATTGCAAAGTCCAAATGCAGAGTATTTCTGAAGATGGGGCTTCTCATAGAGAGGGTCTGTGGTTCCTAACGTGCTGTGGCTTCCCTGTCACTGAAATGGCAATGGCAGCTGTAATATTAAATACTTTGAGACCTCCGTGTTACTGATGTCAGGCAGCATTCTTAATGAATGAAAGATCACATCCAAATGTTTTTCTCCCTTTGCTTTCAGGCTGTAGCAAAGCTGATGTCTGTGGATTGTCGTTGTCACGGTGTTTCTGGGTCCTGTGCTGTGAAAACTTGTTGGAAAACAATGTCATCCTTTGAAAAGATTGGCCGGTTTTTAAAGGATAAGTATGAAAACAGCATACAAATATCAGACAGACTGAAAAAAAAGCTACGCAGGAAAGAGAAAAGCCAGAGAAAAGTACCAATCGGGAAAGAGGACCTGCTATATGTGAACAAATCACCCAATTACTGCGTTGAAGATCAAAAATTGGGGATCCCTGGGACTCAGGGAAGAGAATGTAACCGCACCTCACAGGGACCCGATGGCTGTAACCTCCTGTGCTGCGGGCGCGGGTACAACACCCACGTTGTCAGGCACGTGGAAAGGTGCGAGTGCAAGTTTGTCTGGTGCTGCTACGTGCGCTGCAGGAGGTGTGAGACCATGACTGATGTACACACCTGCAAGTAAGATGAAGTACAGGAAACACAGCCAAACCATCCTGCCCTGTCTGGTGTGGAGCTGCCACACAGGCAGCAAATCCTATTACTGTGTGGGATTTTGGGGGGATCAACCTCGGGGAGAATGGGTACTGCCAAACAACAAGTAGTCCAAGCATTTGGCGACTGAAAGAACAAGTTAGTGAGCACCAGACTGCATGCAGGGGCAGCTTAAACAACAAAAAAGGACTCCTGATGACACATTTGAATATCTTACTCTGTGAGCAGGGACAGACACTAAACTTTTCAAGTCTTTAATAGCTACAACGTCCTGAAGATCCATGGGGTGGGCAGGTACAGTGGAGAAAACTCAAGATCTCATTAGTCAGAGACTGAAGAGTTAAGAGGACTTATAAGATACATTAGATATAGCCTTATGTCTATGTTTTTATAAGTGGGACTAGATGAATCCACTAGATGGTTCGTTTCTGCACTTCAGAAAAAATCACAAGGTTAGGGGAGGTGTTCTGCTCTTGACCACTAAGTGTTTGCTTTGCAGCCGTTCAGAAAGCTGTCTTCTGTGTAATATGCAGAAAAGCATATGGTACTGAGAAATGTGCATGACTGCAGAGGGCTCAGCACTGCCTGGTTGGGAGAGGAGGATCTGTTGGTGTGAGGCAAGCTGTGCCCAGAGTAGAGAGGGGAGAGCACAGCTTGATGAATGTGAATGGTGTACCAAATAGCAACCTCAGGATTTTTTTTACAGCTTGTCCTTCAAATGCACGAGGGACAGGCCTGAGGAGGGACAAAAATACAGTTTAATATTAGAAGGAAACAAAAACCCTTGCAGGCATTTCCTCAGTATCTGAGCACACATTTTGTGAGTCAGCTGGTCATCACCTCACTGCAATAACTTGCCATGTTCAACCATCTCACTGGTGTTTCACCATCATTTTCAAAATTAACCATGTGAAACACAGCCCAAAGAAATCTGCCATAAAGCAAAAGATTTTTTAAAACATGTTTTCTTTATAGAAGCAGCATTTAAAATTTTTCATTAGGTTGTATCCTCATTAAATTCAGTGCACAATGTAATTTATGGATTGGCTCATACCACTGAAATATTTAACTGTTAATGATAACATTTTCTCCCCCTTCATATGTTGGCTTAATTTTATTTCACATCTGTGAAAGGTTGTTTATTTTCATGCAATGATTTAATGCCTGGCTTAAAAAGCAGCATGTGAAAGGATTACTGTTGTTTAATTGTGCAAATACCTATTTTTGATAAGACAAGAAAGTTTATATTTTGTAAATATTTAAATTATGCAAGTTATGTAAAACATTTCCAAAACTTATGTGATAAGACTAGTCTTTGATATTTGTTGGTTAGATATTTGGTAATATTGTAGTAGCCTTTAATTGATTTTTATTTGCATGTGCTGAGGGAAATTAGTCAGAGAATTACATAACTGTTCCTTTTTTTTTTTTACCATCAGGGTGCTCATAATTATTGCAGTGAATACACACTGATGAGAAACACTATGATTCTCTAAATGATCAGTTAATTAGTATTCTGAATATTTTCATTTTTATTATTATTCTTTTAAATGCATTTTACGAACATTGAAATCCCAGCTCCAGCAGTAAGTGCAGAACTCCCACTGACATCAAGGGGACTTGCAAGGGTTTGCAATCCCTTAACTTCTTCCATACTAAGTTTTTAGAAAGAAATCATCTTGGACAGTTTGGTTGAGGCTTTCAAAGTTACTTTGAAGAATTCATTTCCTTGTTGTCAGTTATTTTCCCATGAAAGATGGTGACCAGATTCCCTGTCACTCTTTATTGGATGTGTAGGTCAGGAAGAAGGAAACAAAATCTTCTATGTTGTGGTATTTCACTGCCTTATGTGGATTATTTTAGGAACATCAGTTCAGAAACAATTAAGTCCTTAATCTGCTCGTTCTTTTTGGACCTTTACTCCACATTTGGCCAGTGTGTCTCTTGACCTGGATAGATTATTATCCTGAGGCCACAAAATCTGCTGTCTGTGAGAAGGGTGCTCAGCATGCCAGTCACTGTCACAGGATTCAACACCCTCTCTGTGAAAATTCAGATGGGAAATACACATGCTGTTGAAAGATCCTAAAGAGAGGGTTGTGAGCCACAGGTTGTTCCCATCTTGCAGCAATGAAAGGAAACCCAGTGGCTCCTCAGGCTGTGCCACAGCACCTATTGGCAGCATGGATGGGAGATGATACTGGTCAATGTGATATGAAGGCATGGTAGAGATTGCCTCTCTCTCTTTTTTATTCTGCCCCACATCAAGTTCCTGTCAGAGGCAAGTGCCTTGGTGTCCTACCTGAGCCTTCTCCTAGAGGTACTGAGTTCACTGCTGAGATTACAACTGTTTTTTTATATGGGACTCCAGCTTATGGGAATTCAATGTGAAGACCAGAATCCTTACAGCCTTGACCATTCTTTCAAAACAGCTTAGCTTTTACTGGACCTAAAGGTTCTTCCACACCTGATCTGTAAAATACAGAAAATTGCCAATATACTTCTCAATCTCACCTTAACTTCTGGCAGGGCCGGAAATGGGGAGGAAATGATTCTGGGCTTCTGGGCCTGAGGTCAACTGCAAGGATTTTCCCAGGAGGGGCAAACCTCAGAAAGATGTTTCTGTGGGTTTGAAGGAGAAGGGCACTGACATTGGCATTGCATAGAGATGTGGGGCAGCCAGAACGCAGCCATCACAGCCAGGGTGTCTCTTGCCTGCTTGGCTATTTATTCAGCATTTGATGCTGTGTTATTTTTAACAATCATCTAGTTTCAGAAAAAAACAAACAAACAAACAAAAAAACCCCACCTTTTTGTTCATAAGTGTTGTTAATAAAAGATTTTTTTCTTGGTTTTCTTGGGAGGAAGAGTATTTTTTCAAAGAATGACAAAAGACAATGAAGAGAAGTGGCAACATGTAAGGTTTATGAAAGCTTCAATGGCTGAGCAAACAAGCTAACACAGGTTTGAAGCTTCACTGGCAGCAGAAGAATTCATTTTGCTTCTGAGAAGCTGAGGGAGAATTTGATGGGAGGTGGTGTTACCCTTTCTGCACTGAGGGTAGACCAAGTGCATGCAATCTGAGGGAAGCAGAAGCAAAACTGAGTGCACTGGGGAGACTGGAGCATGAGCTACTCTCTTTACCCACCACAGTTTAAATTGCTGTTTAAGTTAAGCTCCATTGTAACTTACCTCAGTTACATCCATAAAATTAATTCTGGATGAGCAGTATCTGTAAAAGCAATTTTGGATCAGGCTATGAACACTGTTTAGTAGTAGCATCAGGGCTAAAAAAATTAACTGACATCTATTGCACTATTTATTGCACAAAACTGCCTTTACTACTTCCACACTCTCAAACCAAAGCTTTCCTTGCGGGACAGCAAGAGAGAGAATCATCTGTAAGACAGCATGCCTCCTCTTTCCAAGAGGAGCTTATGTATGACATATGTGGTTCAGCTACTCTGGTGGGCATGTGGCACTCGGATGAATTTAATTAACTCAGTTGAATGGGGTGGGGTTTTTTCCTTATGCCGGGACTGGAGGATCAAGGCTGTTGACTTTGAAACTACAGCCTTATAATACTGTTGTACAGCTTTGCAATAATACATACTTTATGTTTGAAAGTAGCTTCATGTGTGCTTATCTGAGCAAGTGAGATTAGAAAAAAAAATTGGAAGGAAATTTGAGTGGGGAAAAGGTCTTCTCTCAGTCCTATTCCCACATAGTGCCCTTTTATGCATGGAGTAGCAGTTTGAGAAAAGTAGCAAACCTATGAAAAATGCCACAAGTTTACTTTTTGAAGAAAGAATAATTGTAGCCTCTTGTGAAAGGGAAAATTATGTTTTCTGTTTTGGACACAGAAATGCATGTGCACTGTGCTGCATGTTTTAAGAGCAAAGTTGTGTTGATGACTGAAGTGCTGACGTGCTCTGAGGAGTTAATACAGGAATACAGCTGGTCATTCTGTCAACATGCCAACCAAAGAACACCATCTTGTCTTTCCCTGTTGGAGATCCCTTGTCAAAGGATGTGTAGTAAATGGAGATTGTTTCCATTGCTGTCAAAACATCTCTGTGCTGAGCAGTACTTTTCAGTACAAGTATGTGAAGTGTATGTGTAAAGTAAACAGGAACAATTATCATTGGTCATTCAAAGGAAATGATGTTAGAAGGACATCCACTTTGGCTGAGATTTCTGATGGAGCTGAGATGCTTGATTTCATGGAAAGATGAGGTTTCACAAGATAAACAACTTTAGAGTGGGAAAGTGCTGAACCCACACCAACTGCTTTCCGCCCAATGGCTTAAATTTTATTAAAGTCATGTAAAGGGATCATCCCACTGTGGCAGACTTCATGCCAAATGAGGCACTGTTTATCTGAACCCTCTGTCTTATGGTAACTTTCATATGGGAGGGATAGCATGAAGTACTATAGTGGAAAATATGTTATTATTTGTTCTAGAGAACTTGCAAAAACTGTTAGTTGTGAATCCTCTTCTGACTGTATCCCATCTGTGCTGCTAGGTGATCTGGAGTGCCCAGATCCAGCAGCAGTAGTAATAGTGAATGTGGTATCATGATTTAATTTTTCATTTCATGCAAGAATATGCAAAAGCAACTTCTAGGATTTTACAGACTCTCACAATTTTTCCTGTTAGTGAAGTGGCATGGGCAGCCAACAGCTGAGACAATAACTGAGAAATGGCTTCACACCCATATGTCCAATGAGCATCACTAAGGAGGGTAGCATTAGTATTCTGACTATAAACAGGAAACTGGGGGGAATGACTTTCTCAAAATGATGTGCAAAAACAATGGCAGACCTAGATTTGAAAAAAAAGAAAAGAATCAACCTAATGTTTTGGCTACCTTGTCACTGCATTTATTTCTCAGGCCGTGTAGTTGGAAAACTGTGGCTTGCTAGTTAGGACTGTATAGTGACCATACAGTGGTCACTATTGTGCAAGTCCTGCAGAGCTGAGTACAGTTTTCTAAGCACAGGTACAGACTAAAAGAATTAGCTGCCTACTGCATTTCCCAAACTTGGCCTTCTGTGGTTTGTATTTCTGGAAGTCAAATATGCTTCCCCCACCCCCTGCCCTGCCAAATGACAAATTCATCCTGAAAGGAATGGTGCCTCCATGTGATCTTCATGTAAATGCTGCAGATAATTAGTGCTAAAATACTCATGTCTGTCCCAGGGTCTGCTGTTAAACTGCATCAACAACTGTGTAATTTCACTGAGAGTTCTGTTAAATAACTAATGGTTTACCCAGCAGAGAATGAAATGTGAATTATTCCTCTCTGGCCACTGTGTCATCTCTGCAGAGCTGGAAGTGTGGTGGCAGATATGAACACAAGACTGCAATTCATTTCACAGCTAGTAGGGAACACTGACTGGTG